CTCCTCTGTCGGAACAATATCTTGCATGGTTAGGAAGTTTATTTCTTGTGACTACATTTTTACTAAGCAGGTTCATCATATAACATTTATTATAGAGCGATATGGTAGCAAACACGAATTTCAATACTGAAATTCTAAAGTTACTAATGTACCCAAGTATTTTGCTTAATTGTTACAGTAAATACTTTGATCCAAAAATATAGGACTTATACCTATATTGTGTTTTTCTTACCCTCCGGAGTAGGCCTAAATCTATATCATTGTGTGCTTAAGCACACTACAGCACCCTTGAATTATTCAAAGAGCTACCTATATAAACTCCAGATATATTGACCGACAAAAGCTCTGCATTACCTGACAAAGGTTCACGTTTTTCTTCTTCTTGACTTCTTATGTTATTATTTGTTTGCAATCATATGGTAAATTATAAATATTCTGAAAGGATGTTTCATGCCGAATTCAGTAGTTAAGACATTTTAGTCATCTTTTTAAGATTTTATTTGTAGTGAAGCGCAAAGCTACACAATGGGCAATCTGTGCTTTTCCCCCCACGGGTATCGAAACCCAGCCTTACGGCACTCTTATAATATACATTTTCTATTTCATATAGATATAATTCCTTGTGGGAAATCCTTCGTGTTTCAACAACATGACATATTTTTATGGCATTCTTCAAATATATTTTTTTTGTATTTCTTCTCTGTTGATCACATGATTCCAAGAGACAATACTTGCCTCAGTTAATTAACATTTGTTTTTCGATTCAGTTATATGACGTTTCATGTTGATCAACAAATTCTCTGTTTAAATCAAGTGATTGTGTTAGTAGGTCCATTCTCGATACATGATTTTCCATCTACTAGTCTTAAAATATTTTGGACTGATGACATGGATCATTGTTTTTTTTTGGAGTATATAGTATATATTCACCACCGTAAACTAGGCAGCATGAACAATGAATCAGTCTAACATTATAAGACCTTCAAAATGTTCACCATTAATATCAATGCAAGTATTGTTTAACGGTGAAAATAGGTTTGTTATGTTAATTGTAGTTTCACTTCTGTTTATTGCCCATCCTGCATATCGTTTTTATGAATAGAAATTACACACAACATTATTCTAAATTAGCAATAATTCTATATTGAATTATACTTAAACTTAATGTGTAAATTGTAATACAATTACTCCTGTGATTTAATATTAAACTTTAAACTGATATGTAGCGAGTGTGTGTGTGTGTGTGTTTCTTATAGCCATATCGGGCTATCTGTTGTGTTCACCAAGGAGACTTACCGCTGTTCCAGTGGGGTACAATTAGATGTAGCGATAATGGCTTCTTGGAGCTGCATTATACACAGAACTGACGAGAAGGGAGCCCGGCAGTAGGATATTCCAAAGCTGCCCACTGAATTTTATACGTTATAACATATTGTGCGAAAGAAGCATTACCATTAACTTAAACTAAAGCTAATATCTAAGAAAGTTAAATGTATTTCGAAATTTTGAATAAGGTGATTAAAATACACATAAATGCTAAAATCACTGCGAACAAAACTTTAAATTTTACAAAAGACAATCTACCTTGCTTTACTATAACAAAAGTTACTAACTGGTAAACGTAGGCCTAAAAGTATGTTACGCTATTAATACCAGTACTAGTAAAAATCCTACGTTAATCATAGATAACCTTAAGCTTAGGCTACTTACTTCGAACCATGTGTTTCTGTTAGGTGTGAACCTAGTCTTAGTAAGAATCGTTGTTTTCTACCTGTTAATAAAAAGTACTCAATAAAAAGAACAGCTTGCATCTCTTACTATTTACAGCAGGGGTCAATTACTCGTTATATATATATATATGCTAAACTCCTAATTTCATTGATGGTTATTTAAATTTAGTTTTTGCTTGACGCCTTGTATGCAGACATACCAAAATCGATCCGTTGCTAGGGACGCGGTGACGTTTCCATGAATAAACAAACACCTCCTGTCACACACGATATGTAGTATAACTTCAATAATAAATGTTGAGCACATAGCAAAATGGACAACTAAACTACCTGAGTCTGCAACTAGAAAAAACAGTGAATGAAGCAGTTTTTGTTTCGAAATATTTCTCGTTTTTCAAGGGTTTTTCGAAATACATGACTTTATAAAAAGAGTATGTCTATACTTGAAAAAAAAAAAAAAAAAAATTAAGAGTTGTGAAATTATTCGCTCTTTATTGAGACCAAGGGCCGCGTTTGTTGATAAATGTATGTCACAACTTTGAAGAGCAGTCGTCATATAATATACATTGAAATACATATACGTTTCTATAATCATATATTCACATTAAGTGTAACATTTTGCTTAAAAGGTGTAAATATGTACAACTCCTTCTGCGACAAATATATTTTATTTATATTTACAGCCACCAAACTTGCCATGAAGTCACATTGCAGTACCAGAGCTATGATGAAGATTTAAACCACTTCATTTTTTTT